GGTGATGACTGGCTCTTTTGGGGGTGTCCTGGTAGACTTTGAAAATATTTGCAAAAGGTACAGAACCAGCCAGATTGAGGTACTTGACATAAATATGCAAACTGGACACTGACAGCAGATGGAGATGAGGGAATGGGCTGAGACAGTTGAAAAATAGAGACTTCTTTTTTGTTGGTGAAGTTGCTCTGACAACTTCTCAATGAGGAGGGATTTTCATTGAATTCTTCTCAACCTGCAATGTTTAAACCATTGAGTGTGCACGGTGGTTTGTGTGTGTAATGGTGCTGACTAGGTGCCACAAATTTTTCATCAGAATGTGCACAAAAAGTCGCGGCATGCTTTTGCAGAGGATAGTGCCCAAGTCTGAAGGGGAACGACTTTTCACTGGTGAGAGTACACCTGTTCAGTGCATGTTTTTACAGGGTTCCCAGCCGACCTGGAAATCAGGGAAAACCTGAAAAATGACTTTCCCTTTTTCCAGTCAGGGAAAAGTCAGGAAATTGGAGAAAAGTCCCTCAAATCTGGGAAAAATCAGCGGATTTGTTTATCCATTGGTCAGACTTTCTTCTCGCCTCGTGCCCATACCAAACACTGAATCCTACAGATGATTGCATGGTTATGGTGGCTTTGTAGTATAGCTTAGTGTGCTTGTAGTAAATGCCCTTTTCTCTTTGTATCAATGTAGCTGGGGTGCCCCTATAACCTTATAACCTGTAACATGAACACCTGTAGTGTACACTATCAGACTATAAAGCCAAAATGATGATCCTTGAAGTTTTAACTTAATCTGGGAGTTTTGTTCCCACGAAATGCTGGGAATCCTGTTTTTTTGCGAGCTGCAAAGCAAGTGCGAGCCTATGTAATACCGATTTCCATCTTCTGTCCGTCCGTGGGGGGGGCGTCCATCCATCCGGCCGTCAGCCCTCCCGTCCATCCTCAAATTTTTTCTTTGCAGGTGTTAAAATGTGCCATTGAGTGCTTGTTTGCTTCTTCTTGGAATTTCATCAGTATTTAAATAGTCTCATATGGCATTAATGCTTAGAAACTTATGAATTTAATGACAAAATTATAAAAGTTGAATGTTAAAGTTTTGAGTCGTATTGTGTAGTTGCCCTGTAGTACATGTACATACAGTACATATGTACTGAGCACTCCTGTAATGTTTATACATTTATGTATGTATAGACAGCGTTTAGACACATACAAATGTACATGTACAGTATGTGAGGAAAATGTAAGGGATGGGGGGAGACTCCATGTGACAGAATGGGATGTTTGTTGGGGGAGGGGTACCCGTAGGAGGAGGATCATGGGGACAAGGTACATGTA